GATTAGGGCATCTCTAGATGGCCGGAAATTACACTCTCACATTTAAATTGAATGTATTTTTCTTTTTTTTTCTTAAAAAAATGAAGGGAGGGGGTGGCGAGCCTTGAATCCTCTGCTCAAAACATTCTTTATCCAGAATATTCATAATCACGAAAAATTGACATGAAAAACAAGATCGACATCCTAAAAACATCAGGAGCCGACTCGATGTCATACCCAGGGAAGGGCACAGATCTGTTTTGAAAGGTGGCGGGGGAGGACATTTTGTGAGTCAACACGCACCTCAGACCCACCATGGTTGGAGCTGAGGTGAGAAAATTTGAGGAAACAGTACCTCTAGATCGACGTTCCGCAAACTATGGTCCGCGGCCCAAATTTGGCCGCGAAACATTTTTAGAGGGCCGCGAAGCCGTCTGGAAATTGAAAAAAAATAACAAAGAGACGTTTTATCATGGAGAAAATAGTTTTTAATAAAGCCGCTTCACTGTTACAGTGAATGAGTCGCTTGCACACGCTGCTAAAGTACCAGATGATGCGTGCTATTTGAATAATTATAAGCGGTTTTGTGTCTATGCCCACTCGGGAGCCTTTATCTGTATATTTATTCCTGATAGTGCTAGTATGCAACATTATTTTCTATAAATAAATATACTGTAAATATACCTTTTTTAAGCATTAAATACATGTCAAGCGCGGATTCAGAGTTTACCCCGGCTCGCACAGATGGCTTCCCATATTGGGATGGTCATGAGAAGAGAGCTAGCTTGTTTTGTCGCTGGAAAATACATTTTAGATATTCGAAAAGTTTTTGTTTTCTAGATTCTTTGAAATACACTTCGTGCATTATGAGACGTTTATTATTGAATACACCCTGAATTCATATTTTTTCACTACTTTGCTATGGACAATTAATAATTATGATGATGAAGAAGACGATGATGATGAGGAGGAAGCTGTGCAAGATTAATTTACATGCCCTTTGTTGTGAAGTGTCGGTTGGGTTACGGTTGGGAATGTTCAATGCACACAGTCGGACAATGATGATTTATGATATCTGTTTTGTATAATAATCTGAAACCCATAAAATATCAGTTCAGGTATTCATTTATCTGTGTGGGGAAAATATAA